GCCAATGCTAATTCGAGCTTCGTGCTGCGTTGCTGGGTTGGTCTCCAGGTGATGCTCGATGTCGCGGTAGTGTCGCGCGTCATTAAATAGCAGTAAAACGTTCGCACTCACGTCATGCAGTGGTTGTTTTTGTGGAGGAGTGACGCTGGTAGTCGTCGTTGGCGGCGTGACTGGGTCGCATTGCTGTCTAGGTTGTCTCCTGTACCCTGCTGATTATAATGAAGGTGTTGTGGCAGCGTCAAGTCGCAGCCGTTTGCAATAGGTGCTGATATATGCAAGCCTGGTTGCTTCGCAATGCGGATCGCTAAGGTCTTGCCAAGCTGTGCAACTGTCAACAACATGATGACGATTTGGATCCTTCCGTCGGCGATGCGAGTTTTCCAATTGAGAGAAATATTTGGGCACGCCCTAGACCTGCGTCGTCGCGCGGTGGGAGTCCCTGATCGACCATGTGAACTCACTGGGTTTGCTGATGATGGCTGCTACGCATCCTTGCATGGTCTTTCGCATTCAAGCGCTGGTGACTTCCAGCGCGGCCGGGTCGAGCTGCGAGCGGCTGCTCGAGCCAAGTCTAATTCGAGCTTAGTGCTGCGTTGCTGGGTTGGTCTCCAGGTGATGCTGGATGTTGCGGTAGTGTCGTGCGTCATAAAATAACAATAGCACGCTCGTACTGATGTCATGTAGCGGTTGCTTATGTGGAGGAGTGACGTCGGCAGTCGTCTTTGGCGGCATGACTGGGTCGAATTGCTGTCTAAGTTGTCTCCTGTACCCTGCTGGTTGTAATGCAGGCGTTGTGGCAGCGTCAAATCGTGGCCCTTTGGCATTATTGGCTTCGTTCCCTGCTTCGTCATTCTGTCGTCGCGCCGTGGCTGCGTCGGTCGCAAGTGTTGCTGCGTGCTGCGTGTACTAGTGAATCCATATTGCTTCTCTGTATCTGAGGCGGGTTAGTAGCCGCTGCCAGGCGCGAAGGTGCCCGTGGCAGAGTAGGCATGCGGCCCCTTCGGCTTCGATGGCTCAATCGTCTGCCTGCGGGTGCCTTTCTGCGCGGTGAACCTCCCACTCTGACATTGCGCGCGAAGCGCGGCCGCATCCATGACAAATTTATGCTGTTTGCTGCGCGAGTGGATCGGGTGGTGAGTCGCTGTCGTCGCAGTCGGGCCGCTGCATGTGTGGCTGCCACACAGCTGTTCCAAATGGGTCGCTGTAACGGACGTGTCCTCTGCGTTTGGCTCTGTCTACTGGGTGGCAGTCAGGCGCGGGTGCGTCGCGCGCGTACATGAACAATTTAGCGATGTCACATTGTCGCTGAGTGTCGTCTGGCTTAGTAGTCGCGCTGGCTAACCACTTCGGATCTTCCGTGCTTAAGTCGACCCCAGTGGATGGCGACGCAGTAGGCGTCGGCTGCCGGCGCCGCTGCCCGCGGCCGGGGTCAATGGCCGTAGAAGGGTGCGCGGTGTAAGAACTAGTCGCTTTGACTGGCATTTAATGCACGCAGTCTACGTTCAGCTCGGCAAGCGACGTCTCGGGCAATGAGAAGAAGTCGCTGGTCTGAGATGGCGGCTGTTGGCACTCGTCATGAGTGGTTGTTGGCGGGGCTGCGGCTGGTTTGGTCGCGTGATTTGCCAAGTTGCGTCACTGTGGCGGTCGCGAGTGGGCCCCGTGTCTCTGCTCGGCGGACGCGCCGGCCAGTCTTTAACCAGCCTCGAACGCATCCCTACCCCTAAGATGGGCGAGCAAAAAGCCAGGACAATCTTAGGGATTGGCCCTCATAAACTGAGGGAATCCTTAAGATCGGCATCGAGGTGAGGTGATGTCAAACATAAGGATAAGGAAATGTTCCAGGCTGGTAAGTCTCACCTTGATCTTGATATTGATGCGAAGTTGATTGATTCCGCCAGCCATCCTGCGGCGCCGGGCCCTCCCTCAGAAGAGACAGCGCCCCGCGACCCACCCCCTCCCTCCACCCTTCTAAGCAGTTCGCATGCGATTCCCCGCCAAACACAACGTTTCGCGGCCCCAGAGGGGGGCCCCACCGAAGACCCCAACGGCGCAGCCCGCGCGCGGGACCCCCGCCCAGCACGGCGTTTCGCGGCCCCAGAAGGAGCTCCACCGAAGATCCCAATGGCGCAGTCCGCAGGCGGTTTCCCCCACCCAACACAACGCAGCGCGGACCCAGGAGGAGCCCCACCGAAGGCCCCCGAGGCGCAGTCCGCACGCGTCCCACCCACACAGCACAGCGCTTCGTGGCCCCAGGGCGAGCTCCACCGAAGCTGTCCCAGCAGGTGCTCCCAGCGGTGCCGCAAGCCCCCCCCCCCCCCACCCCCCCCCCCCCCCCCCCACCCCCCCCCCCCCCCCCCCCCCCACCCCCCACCCCCCCCCCCCCACCCCCCCCCCCCCCCCCCCCCCCACCCCCCCCCCCCCCCCAGCGCAGCGCTTCGCGGCCCCAGAGGGAACTCCACCGAAAGCCCCAGCGGCGCAGCCCGCGCGCGGTTCCCCTGCCCAGCATAGAGGTTCGTGGCCTGAGAAGGGGGCTCCACCGAAGGCCCCCGTGGCGCAGTCCGCATGCGTCTCCCCCACCCAGCCCAGCGCTTCGTGGCCCCAGAGGGGGCCCCGCGCAGTCCGCATGCGGCGCCCCCGCCCAGCACGGCGCTCTGCGGCCCCAGACCAAAGGGAGCTCCACCGAAGATCCCAGTTGCGGAACTCGCATGCGGTTCCCCCGCCCAGCAAAGCGCATCGTTGCCCCACGGGGAGCCCCACGGAAGACGGTACCCACACCTGCGGCACTCAACTGCATATGGTTGGGTTATCCCCAAGGATTGCTCCAAACAAAAGCATAACCTAGAGCGGCGTAAGTGCAGCTGTCTGCTTGGTGATCTGGTGAGCTGTGCGGATGGTGGCTGTACGTTCTCGGTTAAAGTGAGTACCCAGGTAGTCGCAGATGCGCGTGATAACGATATGCTGGTCCCACGTTGGACAGTAGACGCTGGGCTCAAGTTGCGCAAGTATTCGCTGTTTGGCTGGTTCAGTGCCTGTGTCTGTGAGGTGCACAGTAAAGGCTGGCTTGCGTGGCTTGGACTTAAGCTTGAAGCCGCAGCTAGTCAGCACTGCGTGTGTCGTAGTTGCTAAGTCGGCCATGTAGTGCGCGATGGGGCCGTTGTCTTTGCACTGCGCCATGATGAACGCGTCGCCGACGAATGCTGTGCTGGTTGTGTAGTCGTATTGTTGTGTGTTG